ATTATCAATGACATCACCCTCAACACCATCACCAACATTTATTGTCAATATCATCATCTATTATCATCATCATTGTCATTATTATTATCATCATTATCATTTGATTATTGATCATGATATCATTGTTGTTATTATTGTTGTTTTTGTTTCTGTGATTATCATTATTATCATAATCACTATTTTCTTTAACATCATCATCACTATTATCACTGTCATTATCATCAACGTCATCATCATCATTATCTTATTACTGTCATCATCACCATCATATTAGTCATTATCATCATCATCATCACCACCATCATCATCATCACTCTTATTAATATTATCATCATCATCATTATCATTATCATTATTGCTGTAGCTGCTCTTCTTAATATAACAAACTAACTAACACTAACAATAACAACAATAAAATACAACAAAAAAAACACCTCCCAATGGCGCCAAAAACAACAAGCAGACAAATTTTATATTCATTTTTTTTTTACACTAAGGAACTCTGAACTAGATAGCCCGATGACGTCATCGATCAGCTGACCTATCTCCCCTGGCGCCATCTTGTCGATCTACACCGGAAGTTGACCGATGGACCAAGTCACGTATTGAGAAAAATATTGGTTTCATGACGAATGACTTGTTGGTAGATGGATAGATCGATCTTTGTCCTTATATCGATCTTTGATATATATATATATATATATATATATATATATATATATATATATAATACACCTTCACTCACTCACTCACTATCATTCACACACACACACACACACACACACAACACACCACACACACCACACACACACACACACACACACACACACACACACACACACACACAACACACACACACACACACACACACACACACACACACACACACACCACACACACACACACACACACACCACACACACACACACACACACACACACACACACACACACACACACACACACACACACACATACATACATGTGTATGTACCTTACTGTTCTAATAATAAATAATATAATACTACTACTACAACTAATAATGATAATAATTATTATAACAATAATGTTACTACTAATAATAATAATAGTCATAATACTGATAATAATAATAACTAATAATAACAATAATAATGATAGTGATGATGATAAGTTAGAGAGAGAGTGAGAGAAAGGGGGAGGGAGAGGGACCAAAAGCGATCCCGAGAGAAAAGGGAGAGAGAGAAAGAAAAGAATAGGAGAGAAGAGAGAGAGTGAGAGTGAGTGAGAAACGAGAGAGAGAGAGAAAAAGAAGAGAGAGTGAGGGGGAAAAGAATCCTTAGAGAGAGAGAGCAGGAGGAGGAAAGAGAAAAGCAGGAAGAGGAGGAGACAGTGAAAAAAAAAAAAAGAGGGGAGAGAGAGAGAAAGCAAAAAGCGAAGAGAGAGAGAGAGAGAGAGAGAGAGAGAGAGAGAGAGAGAGAGAGGGAGAGAGAGAGAGAGAGAGAGAGAGAGAGAGAGAGAGAGAGAAGCGAGAGAGAGAGAGAGAGAGGAGAGAGAGAGAGAGAGAGAGAGAGAGAGAGAGAGAGCAGAGAGAGAGAGAGAGAGACGAGAGAGAGAGAGAGAGAGAGCGAGAGAGAAGAGAGAGAGAGCAGAAGCGAGAGAGACAGACAGACAGACAGACAGAAAAAAACCGACCCCGAAAGAGATAGGAGAGAGAGACAGAGACAGAAAGAGAGACAGACAGACAGAGCGAGACAGAAACTGAGACAGACAGAGACAGACAGAAAGAGAGAGAGAGAGAGCGAGCGAGGGGAAAAGAACCCTTATCGAGCGCGGCAGCTTCCCCTCATCCGGCTAATGCAGGGTCGCCTCCCCTTATCGGAACCTCCCACCACCTGTGAGACAAGGTTATCAGGCGGGCGCGTGGCTCTTCACTTCCGAGGGGAGAGAGAGGGGAAAGAAGGGAGAAGAGAGGAAAGAAGGGAGAGAGAGGGGGAAATAAGGGAAGAGGGGGAGGGGAGGGATAAAGAGGGAGTGGGGAAGAGGAGGAGGGAAGGGAAGAGGGGGAGGGAGAAAGAGAGAGAGGGGAAATAAGGGCAGAGGGAAGGGAAGAGGGAGTGGGAGAGAGGGGAAGAGGAGGAGGGAGAGAGAGAGTGGGAGAGAGGGGAAGGAGAAAGAAGGGAATGGGAGAGAGGGGAAGAGAGGAAGAGAGACAGAAGAGAGTGGGGAGTGGAAGAGAGAGGGAGACGGGGAGGGAGAGGAAGGAAGAGAGAGAGAGGGAGAGAGAGGGAAAAATATGGGAAGAGGTGGAGGAGAAAGAGGAGAAGAGAGACAGAAGGAGTGGGAAGAGGGAAGGAGAAAGAGAGGGAAGAGGAGGAGGAGGAAAAGAGAGGGAGTGGGAGAGAGAGGAGGAAATAGGGTAGAACGGAGGGACAGAAGGAGGGAGGGAGGGGAAGAAGGAGGTCAGGGAGAAGAGGGAAAGAGAGATAGAAGGAGTGGAGAGAGAGGGGAAATAAGGGCAAAGGCAGGAGGGGGGAGGGGAAGAGAGACAGAGGGGAAATGAGGGGTGAAGGAAGGGAAGAGGGAGGGATAATGTGGGGAAAAGAGCCAGAAGGGGAGGAATAAAGAGGGAGTGGGCGAAAAAAGGGAAGAGAGGGAAAATGAGGGAGATTGAGTGGGAGAAAGAGGTAAGAGAGACAAAAAGGGGAGGATAAAGAGGGAAACACAGAAAGGAGGGATAAAGAGAGGAAGAGAAATAGAAGGGTGAACAAAGTGAGGAGGGAGAAAGTGAGAAACAGGCGAAGAAGGGATGGGAGAAAGAAAGAGAAAGGAAGTGGGAAAAAAAGAGAAAGAGATATAGTGTGTGCGTGCGTGCATGTATGCGTGTGCGTGCGTGCATGTGCGTGTGCGTGCATGTGTGCGTGCGTGTGCGTGTGTGTATGTGCGTGTGTGTGTTTGGGCAACGGCTAAGAGGGTCTCCACTGGGAGATTGATCAGCATATGGCCAAGTGTCCCAAAATAGCACATTGTTTTGGCGGTTAAAAGGCGTTGGGAAGATAAAGGAAAAACGAGAGCTGTTGAAAAAAAAAAAAAAAAAAAAAAAAAAAAAAAAAGTCGGATGGCAGAAAATGTGGGTAAACGAATAATATAATAAAAATATGAAATATGGAGCAAACCTCTGTATAAATGTGCGTGTGTGTGTTGATACAGATATACATATACATACATACATGCATATATACATACGTATATACATATACAGAAATAGATATATAAATATATATAATGACGATCAAGAGAATAGGTAACAGAAATAATTAACTGAAGAATTGGCGTGGTGTTCTAGGTTTACGAAATATGTTCATAAGATTAAAGAACACTTTTTTATTACCATTTTAGCAGTTACATAATATTTTTAATTCTTTCTTTCTGTTATATATATGTGTGTGTGTGTGTGTGTGTGTGTGTGTGTGTGTGTGTGTGTGTGTGTGTGTGTGTGTGTGTGTGTGTGTGTGTGTGTGTGTGTGTGTGTGTATTTAGGCCGGTGAATATAAACAAATATATATTTGAATACATATTTGCGTATGCAGTGGCAGGGATGAAGTTTCAAAGTGAATGAAAACACATATATATATCACTTATATTCGACCTTTTGACTGAATATCTATTAGGAAGAAAAACGAAACACCATCTCCATGAAATTTGTTTATGATTTTTTAAACTCACAGCACAATTCAGTATTACAAAAAGACAAAAAATTACAAAGCGTTTTTTCAACTACATAAATTGCCAAAAATCACATAGAAGAATTCACTCACGCGCATACATATCATTCGTGCATAAAAGTGCTATCAATCACATTCAGTGACTTTTTAAAAGGAGGCAGATGATTGGTTGAATCGCTGGACGGTTCAGCCAATCACCGCCTGCTAAAACTAAAATACAGGCGGCTGATTGGTTGAATTTCCTGACGTCACAACCAATCATCGCCCGCTAAAATGAAACGAGACAGGTGATTGGCTGAATTTGAATTTCAGATGCAGCCCATCACCGCTCCACAACATAGAAGCAAGGGAACTATATACAATAATGTATTCTTTTGAACTGTCTATTTACATAGGTCCATAAAAAATATTTTCCCGCGCTATTTGCAGAGAAAAATAATAAATCTAATTTTTACCACTCAACATAAATTATTAACAAGGTAAATTAAAAGTAAGATACGATAAATCAACGGTTTTTTCCCCTAAGTTGAAAAAAAAAATCAGGAGATTTCATTTCAAAAATTCGAAACGAAATATTCTCCATTTGCAATAATATTAGCACCACGAGTCAGCAAGTAATGAAATAAATCATACTATTATATACGTTTTTTATACAACGAAAAAGAAAAAAATTATCTTAAACACAGAGACATCACACAGAAAACGGTTTTCAACTACACTTCCGTCCCTTAAAAAAAAGTTTTAATTAACATAACCAACGTTTTCTAATACTTTCTATATCACAATATCAATTAAAACTGACTAACTGTGACACTCACCAATTAACTTTTTTTTTAACTTACAAATTAACACACGGTTGTCTTTTAATAATTATATCTACATCATAAAACTAACAATAAACTACAGAATAAGAATCTATAATTAATTTAATCCACAAATGAATAATATACAAAAAAAGGAAAACCCACATCTCCAAAACAAGATTTTCGAAAAAAATAATATTAATTGATGACGTACATTTAAAACTAAGAATGAAATGAAAATGTTGCAGTTCACCCAACATAGAAAACGAGAAATGGGGAGTATAATTTGTATATTTTTTCTAACATAAAAAATGTCAAAATAAAAATGAAAATAAAAATAAAGGTAAGAGAAATAATGACTGTAATATCAATGATAAAAATAATGGCAATAGGAATTATTATAATAATAATAACAATAATATTAATAATACTAATAATGATATTGATATTGATAATAATGAAACAATAATAATAATAATAATACCAAAAAAAAATAATAATATGATGGTGATTATGATGTGAATAATGATAATAGTAACAATCATAAAAATCAAGTATAACTGACCAAATTGGTATTATAATAACCAAATAAATCAAATGTTTCTATTAATAATAACGTTCGTTTATTTACAGACACTGATGACAGAAATATTTATATTCCATAACACTAATTATTGCTATTGTACACACATTCCAAAAAATACACGAATTGAGTGCAGTAAAACAAAAGAAAAAGAAAGAAAAAACACACGTATAAATGAATGTCTTTCTTTATTTTCATACATTGAAAAATAGTTTCGCCTGAACTCTCTTGCCGTATTTACAAGAGCTTATCATTTTTTTTTCATATCTGTCTGTTTGTGTCTGAGAGAAAACAAGAGGAAAAAACGTTTTACAAATTAAGAGGAAAAAAAAACGTTTACAAAACAAACGTTCAAAGAGACGGACACACAATACAGTTTACAGAACCCTTTTCGATCCACAACGAAACAGGATAAATTATTTCCCCTTATTTTACATAATCATGTGATCACTTAAGTTCATAATTCCCCCGATTCGACGGATTTGAAAATAGGGATTTGATAATCAGCTGTGAGTACTATTCAGGCGAGGTAACATACCCAATTAATAAAAGAGTATGTTGTTTTTTTCGATTTAATTCTTTAAACAGATAAAAGTGAAAAAAAAGAGAATCTAAAGTCTAACAAACTAGCTAACACTAAAACGTATACTAAGAGAACCGAAAGACGACTGGAAATCAGCATCCATTTTAGCCGTCGTCCATAAGGTGATCGTTCTCCTTGGTAAACAAACCAAAACAAGTGGAATGCCTGATGAAGGATGAAGACTGCTACGTGCGTGAAAGAGCGAGGAACAGCAGATTAGAAGATGGAAAAAAGACGAACAAACAACAAACTAACACTGATTTTAAAAGCAGAAGAAAAGAAACACGAGAAAGGAAAACGAATAACAAAGAAAATGGGACACGAGAGGAACCGCGCAAAACGACTAGCCATTTTAGCCCCGTCCATGGAGATCGCCCTCAGGTTGAAGTCCTCTGGCATGTCGATGACCCCTTTGGCACTCCAACCGCCGGCACTCCTGCTAAACCTAGTATCTTTGGCACACTTGGTCTACCTTCTATCTTTGGTGTGCCTAGAACCATCTTAAGCTAAGTCACGACATACAAAAAGCGCCTTAAAAGCTATTACGAAAAAAACACACATCTGTACACACGTATTCAACAGAGTATACATGTCTTCCATACTAAAAGAAAACTTCCTATGTACATTAATACCTATACAACTCTTTTTCTTTTTTTGCCTTAGATTTTTTTTTTCTTTGTCTCTCTCTCTCTTGTTATTTTACATTCGTCCTCCCTGGGTGTCTCTCACTTGGCCTTCCACGACAGGTGTTCCAGCGTGTGCGGGGTGGTGGGGGTGACGGGGGGGGAGTGGCCCTGCACAGAGGTCGACCCCAGGCAGGCGGAGGAGACGATGTGGGGCAGCATCATGTTGGCGGAGTAGTGGGGCGCCACGGACCCCGGGGAGCCGAGGTGTGGGGTCCCTGCCGACGTGGACACGGGCAGGTGCGACGGGGTCATGTGGCTGGCCGACGAGGCGGTGACCCCAGCCAAGGGGTCGCGCGGGGACGTCGCCAGGCCGTTGGACGATGCGTGGGCGGCCCCGTGCGCGACGGAATGGGCGGCGTGGGCGTGGTGGAGACTCCCTCCTCCTCCTCCTCCTCCTCCTGCCCCGATATCTCCTGCTGCGCCTCCAGTCCCCGGGGAGGAGGGCTCGTCCTTGACCCCGTACTGGAGGGTGGAGGGCGGGGCGGGCTTGAGGCTGGGGAAGGAGTAGGGCGGGAGGAGCGACGGAAGCAGGTGGGTGGAGGAGGAGGACGTGCCCGACGGGGAGGTGCTCTGGGACCCGTAGGCGGAGGTGCCGTACATGGTGTAGGAGGCGCTCGAGGGCTCCGTCTTCACTGCGGGCCAAAGGGAAGCGTGAGAGGGGGTCGAGTAGGAGCTCACTCTTGGATCTTGAATGAGTTTTTCGTGCGTAAGACATGAGAATGACTCAATAAAAGACATAATAAATACGTAATTTTTTTATCCTTCAAATTATCAGAAAATATCTCTATTGGTTAGTCTACATGTAATCAATTTCAGTATTTGCAAAGAATAGATAAAATAGCATTGACGATAATTATTTCCAACATCGGTACGAAGACTGAAAGCAAAAGTAGTACACACACACACACACACGCACACACACACACACACACACACACACACACACACACACACACACACACACACACACACACACACACACACACACACACACACACACACACACACTTACACCCACACACACACACACACACAAACAAACACACACATTTTTTTCACCCATAATTACCTGTCGACACCGAAGAAGTCTGATACTTGGAGGCCGAGGGCGTGGTGGTGGCGGTGCTGGAGGAGGACGTGGTCAGCGTGCTTGTGCCTGAAGAAGTGGCCGAAGAAGGGATCGAGGACGAGGTGGAGGAACTCTTGCTGTCACTCGACTTCTTGGGCTTTCTTTTCCGGGTCTGAAGGCGGGGAGGTGGAGGTTTAGGAATAATTATGTTGGGGGGCGGCTTTTCAACTAATTGGACTTTCAGAAGATTAAAAATGGGAAATATGAGTAAGAAAAATTGGACTTTCAGAAGATTAAAAATGGGAAATATGAGTAAGAAAAATTGGACTTTCATTGGAATGATTGAACATGGAAAATAGAATATTTGTTTTATATCGTTACTATTTTTACCGTTAATATATTTGGAAAAAATATAATATTTATCATATAGTGTATTTTGTTTTGCTTCTAAAATTCCAATAATTTTATCATTTGATTATTTCCATATCTATCTACTGTTCATTCCCTTTCATATTTATTTACTTATTTCATAACATTTATTTAGTTACTGCCAACCTATCCATTCGCTGATATATATATTTAGCAGATAGTTTTCTTTGATAGCTTTGTAAATATATGGTTGAGGTAAAGAAGATTTAGGGGAAAAACACACATACATATAGGTGTGTGTGTGTGTGTGTGTGTGTGTGTGTGTGTGTGTGTGTGTGTGTGTGTGTGTGTGTGTGGTGTGTGTTGTTTGTTTTTTCCTAAAGTAGTCTTATTCACCTCAACCATCTATTCACGAAGCTATCAAAGTAAACTATCTGTTAAAAGTTATTTATTCATCTGTTAATTCATTGATCAATCGAACCTCACGCAATTAAACCTAGTCCTACCAGCACTCGCCTGAATGCTCTCTCTCTCTCTCTCTCTCTCTCTCTCTCTCTCTCTCTCTCTCTCTTCTCTCTCTCTCCTCTCTCTCTCTCTCTCTCTCCTACAGTAGCCTTATTACCTCAAATCACTTATTTACGAAACTATAAAAAACACTATGCTAATTAGAACTCACGAATTGAACCTAGGACCAACCCACGTCAGCTAGGCCTACCATGAACCACGTCAGCTAGGCCTACCATTACCCACGTCAGCTAGGACCACGTCAGCTAGGCCTACCCCACGTCAGCTAGGCTACCATTACCCACGTCAGCTAGCTACCATGAACCACATCAGCTAGGCCTACACCACGTCAGCTAGGCCTACCACGTCAGCTACCACCACGCCAGAACCAGCACTCACCTGGATGCTCTCCTTCTTCATGGTCAGCGGCCGGTTGATGTTGTGCAGCTTGTAGTAGAGGCCACAGGCGTTGCACACGGGGTCGCCGTTGCTGTTCCGACGCCAGAGGGAGGTCACGGTCGTGTGGCAGTTGGTGCACACTTGCCCGAGCCGCCTGTTGCCGGACTGGAGGAAAGGTTTTGCAATGTTTATATTTCAATTATTTTTTCTCTCTTTGATTTTTTTTACTTTTTTATTATTTTATTACTATTTATATTTTTAGTGATTTTTTTTATAATTATTTCTTTATCTTTCTTTCTTTTTTATTGTTTTTTGTATATTCATTTGTTCAGTGACGAATGCAAGTGACGGTATATCCGAATTTATCTGCATAAATAATGATAATAATATAAACATTATATAAACAAGAACGAGAATGACCAAAGGGTTCTAAAAAAAAAGCTGTTATAAAAAGCATCGAAGCTACAAAGCACAAGAAATAATAATAAAAAAGCATTGAGAAAAGAAAGGATAAAAAAAAGGTTATCAAAAAAAAAACATGCAAAAGCGTAGAAAGCAGAAGTCACAAGAGGAAAGAAAAGAAAGAGAAGGGGGGGGAAGAGTAGAAAAAAAGAGAGAGAAGGAAAAGGAAGAGAGAGAAAAGAGAATAGAGAGAGAGAGAGAGCGAATAGACCTACCAGTCGCCTGCTCTTCATCGTGTCATAAGGCCGAGACTGGAGTCCATAGTAGCTGTAGTAGTCATCAACTGCAACAAGCAAAAGGAAGAAGGTTAGTTGCAGGAAGAAGGGGAAGGAAAGGAGACAGAGAAAGCAGTGCGCGGGTCGGGTGTGTTGGTCAGGAGGAGGAGAGGGAGGAGAGAGAGAGAGAGAGGGAGATAAAAGAAGGGAGGTAGAAGGAAGAGAGAGAGGAGGAGGAGGAGGACGCGTCGGTCAACAGAAAACGGGTAACCTCCATCAGCTGTTCTTGGTCGTCCCTTGGGTCGTGGGTTCTCGTGGCTTCGAGATCATTCGAATAACCATCTCTTTAGCCCTATCCCCTACGACAAGGAACGAACGAAGAACTCGCGGTCTCTCCTCTCCTCTCCTCTCTCTCTTATCTCTACCTTTCTTCTTTCTTTCCATGTGCTTTTATCTCCCTCTTTTCTCCTTCCCTCCTTCTTTCCCTCCAGACCACCCGACCGTGAGTGACTATCAAAAGTCGGTTCTGAGGCGCGGTTTTCGAAATCCAAGGCGGACTTCTCTTTCAGACTAGTAAAAGAGATTATAAATGCGCTGGTGTTGGGGGGGTCGATCAGTTTTCGGCGCGCGGCAGAGGAGAAGAAACGGGATAGAAGAAATTTGCGAAGGGATGTTGGCCAATGGGGGGGGGTAAGGGGGATAGAGGTGAGGAGGGAGGAGGGCGTGTGAGGGCGTATGCTTCCCCTCCATCCCCCCTTCCCCTCCACCCCTTCCCCCAGGACCCTCCGCCTCCTTCCCCTTCTCCTTCACTCCTCGGGACGCCAACTTACATGCCTCCGCGCGGGCATCTTGGTCATGGGGCGGTTGATGCCGTTGGTGCGAGTGTAGAGGGCGCAGGCATTGCACAGGTAGTGCCCGGTCTTGGCGTCCCTCCGCCACAGGGGGGTCCGGGAGGCACCGCAGTTGGCACACTCGCGGCACTCACGCCCGTCGTAAAACCCGGGATCTACTGGGAGGGGGACACAGGGTGATGCCTCGGCCGGGAGCGTCTGACTGGGCGTCTCGTCAGGTAGCGCTCCAGATAACGAGCTAATTACACCCGCTGTCTCGTAGGCCTACCTCTACGGATCTAATCTTTCTCTCTTTCTCTGCTTTCTAAATTTAGCGTTTTATAGAATACTTTCTTTACCAGAACAGAGAAATCATATCACAATTGGAAAACAATATAATGATAGATATTATTATAATCATAATGATAATAGTAATAATAATGACACTAATAGAGATATTAATAAAATAATAATAACACCCCGAAAGCAACCTCATTCGCTGGAAAAAAGGACATTAAGGCAAGGCGGAAAATAATACATTCCCAAATACAAAAAAGATAGAAAAATATTGCACTCAATTACCTGGAGGATATGACGAATACTCATAGCCGGTCACGTGATACGGCGCCATTTGATTGTGGTAATCATAATAATTATATTCGTGAAGGACGTTTCGGTCCAAACTAACGTTGCTCATGTTATTCATTTTTAACAAAGTCACTGTGCAAAAGAGAGAACTTGAGAGAGAGAAGGAACAACACACTATCTTCAACTCTCCTTTTCTAACTCTCCTCTTCCAACTCTCCTTCTCTTCTCCTTTTCCAACTCTCCTTTTCCCTTCGGTAAGACAGCTCGCTTCCCCGACTCACGAAGGCACCGTCAACACCGCAAAGTCACGCACTCAACTACACGACAACCCGCGCAACCACCCTATATGAGAAAGACGACCGCCGATTGACACGCCCACCGCAATCCCAGTTCGTGGTCGCCGCCGCCGCCGCCTCAGACACCCCAAGCCTCCATGCGGTCTCCGTTGAGAACGTTCCCTTAGACTCTCCTTATCGCGATGGTCAGGGTTGCCCTCCCCTCCCCCCTTTCCCTCTCCCTACCTCACTCTCTCCTTCCTACCTACCTCTCCTCCCCCCTCCTCCCTTCTCCGTATTTCACCCTCTCCTTCCTACCTACTCCTTCCCCCCTCTCCCCTTCTCCTCTCCCTCTCACTCTCTCTTCCCTGCCTACTCCTCCCTTCTCTCTACCTACCTCATCCCTCTCCTTCCCTACCTCCCTTCCTCTCTCCTACCTCACCTCACCCTCTCCTCCCTCCTACCCCCTGAAGAAAGATAGTCCTTATCAGCTGTGACAAGTTAGGCCTGCATATGATGTAGGCTTTGGGAGAGCGGCTGACAGCGATGAATTTCCTTCGTTTGTGGTGTTGGCTTTATTTATTCGGAGTGGTGGTTGTCGTAACGTGTTCTGGTCTTGTCTGCATGTTTGTGAGTGTCTGGTGATGTTTTAGTCTGTGATTGGGATTAATAAAGCATTTTCTTGGCATTTTTTTCTGGTGGATAACATAAGGCATTTTCTTGGATATACATAAGAGGGGATTTAATAACATAGATAACATAAGGCAGATCTAAGGCATTTTCTTGGATAAGCACCATATAGGGCAATCATATTTAAGGCATTTTCTTCAGGCAAAGCTTTTTCCAGAGCATTTTCCCTAATTAGGATAAAGTATAAACTAGTTCAATAGATTATCACAGATTCACACCCCAAGTTAAGGAAAATATTCAGTATGCTCATTTTATAAATTACAATGTGAAAATAACGCGTGTTGTTTCATAACACGATAAAAATGGCATCGACTTGTAAAAAGGAAAGGAAGAAAAGGCATGTGGATGATTAGACATCAATCTAACTACTTATTAGCCACGCTTGTTTGGTTTTTTTGACGTGCGCTCGTAGTCCCTGACCGATCGTTGTTTGTTTTGGGCCAGCGCTCTCTTCAAACCTTTGTTTACCTTTGAAACCTCTGCCCAAACCCAAGCCAGCAAGCACTTAAGGGGGGGGGGAGAGTATACCTCTTCTGAGAATCTGTTACTATGTAGTAGATCTTCTTGAGTACTTGTTTGTTCGTGTTGATATAGGATGGAGTCTGTAGGAATGATATGTTTGTTTTGTACCTGCGCTCTCTGGGTCGGGCGAGGACCTCGAGCCGAATCTACGAAGCGTCTCTCTTCTTTCATTTGGATTTTTGTTAATTACGGCTCAAGTGTTTGGGTAAATTGATATTGTTATCGGGTCGTGCCGGTGATGGGGATTAAATGAAGTATCAGCTGATAATTTGCATATTCACGTACCTGAGTTTCGTCTAGGCGTGATTGATGGCCAAATATTAACACCGCAATGGCTTCACTTGCAAAAATAAACAGGCCGTTACTAGTCCCCCCCAAAAATGCAATAACCGTTATCGTTCTCGAATCATAAAACGCTTCATAAATGACATATAAATTTTGAAAATTAATTTACCATAACGCAACGGATTAAAGCGAGGAAAATGGAACCAAAAGGAGACGACAGGACGAAACAGCACAAGTTCCTAACCTCGAAGACAAAGACACACTGACTGTTCACTACATCCTGCAAATTGTACACGTAATGTCAACTGAACTCGTGGCACAACAAAGAACATGACACATGCCCAAGAAAATTAATTGAAACCATTTAATAAATGCTTAAAAATGTAGTTATATTTGAAAATTCTATACCAGTTATCGTAAAAGTCAATGGAAATTAATAGAATTAGAAGTGGGGCGCTAATGACAAGAATAAATAAAATTTTGCAAAGGTGGTCATTATATTTCAATGACTTTTTTGAGAATATATTAATTGCAAACGTGGAGTATTATTATTTTAATTATTTTTTTTTTAATGGCAAGAATAAATAAAATTTTGCAAAGGTGGTCATTATATTTCAATGACTTTTTTGAGAATATATTAATTGCAATAATTGGAAGACGGTTGCTAATATTCAGAAACGAAAAATTGTTAACGATCAGAAAAAAAAAATATTCAGAATGAAGCAAATTCATAAGAAAAAATATATAATTAAGATAAAATAATTACAAAACGTTTTTTTTCCTTTCCCCAACCTTAAATTTAAAAAACAAACGAACTATCATAAACATCAACCAACAATTTAAAAAAAGACGAAACGATAATTAATTCATAAAACAAGTATTTAGAGAGAAATAATCAATTATCCGACATTCAGACGCGTGTGTTATGCTTGTTAACCACCACTTAACCTAACTTGACCTAACACAGTGGTCAAGGCAAACAGTTTCTGGACTCGGGATTAGGGTGACCTCGGACAGGGGGGGAAGGGAGGGGGGGATAGTAGGGCAGGGTAAGGGGAAGATGGCGAGTGTATTTGCATGGGCACGCGGTCAGCTGGGTATAAGGGTATGAGGCTTTTGTTGATTTATTTCTCGACGTTTGAACACGTGTTAGGCGGTTTTGTGGGATGGTTTAGGGTCAGGAAACAAGAGTTCGCATCAAAGACAGACACAACACAACACACACACAACACACACACACACACACACACACACACACACACACACACACAACAAACAAACAACAAACAAAACAAACAAACACATATACCGATAGATAGATAGAGATCGATATATACACATTCACACATACACAAACAAACCAATATGCAAATTAGTATAAATATAGAAGAGAGGAAATTATATGAAAAAAATTAGCCATATATGCAAATTAGTATAAATATAAAAGTTATAAATACCAAGCAGACGAGAGGAAAGGGAAGGAAAATAAGGGGAAAGGTCAGGATGTCAAAGACAAAAGAGCCACTTGACTTTTTCGAGCATGAAAAATGGCGGATCGTGTGTTGACAGTGAATGACATGACACGCGTTGATGGTGGCTCGAGGTTTGCAATGACAGTGTGTGTCGCCTTCGCCCTTCTTCCTGTATTTCGTCTGTTTTCTCTTGTTTTTTTTTGGTTTTGTGTTGTGCGTGTTTTTTTCGTTTTTTGTGGTTTGTTTATATTTCTTTGTGTGTGTGTGTCTCTCTCTCTCTCTCTCTTCTCTCTCTCTCTCTCTCTCTCTCTCTCTCTCTCTCTCTCTCTCTCTCTCTCTCTCTCTCTCTCTCTCAGTTACTTTATCCAATTATATCTAATTTACAAAATTCTCTCTCTCTCTCTTCTCTCTTCTCTCTTCTCTCTTTCTCTCTCCTCTCCTCTCCCTCTCCTCCTCTCTCCTCTCCTCCTCTCTCTCCCTCTTCCTCTCTCTCTTTCTCTCTCTTCTCTCTTCTCTCTCTCTCTCTCTCTCTCTCTCTCTCTCTCTCTCTTCCTCTCTCTCTCTCTCTCTCTCTTCCTCTCCCTCTCTCTCTTCCCTCTCCCTCTCCTCTCTCCTTCCTCTCTCTCTCTCTCTCTCTCTCTCTCTCTCTCTCTCTCTCCTCTCCTCTCCCCTCCTCTCCCTCTCCCTCTCCCTTCCTCTCCCTCTCCCTCCTCTCCTCTCCTCTCTCTCCTCTCCCTTTCCCTCTCTCTCTTCATTTGCTTACTCACTCTTTATCCAATTATATTTAATTTAAGATTCATCCTCTCCCTCTCCCTCTCCTGTCCTCTCTCTCTCTCCCTCTCTCACTCTCATTTGCTTACTCACTCTTTATCCAATTATATTTAATTTATAAGATTCATTCCCTTCCCTCTTTCACGTGCGCGTCTTTCTCATGTGTATCTAAGCCTCTACTATCTACTATCTACTTATATTCTCTCTGAATAACTCGAATAATCTTTCAATTTTTTTCCATGTCTAAAATTTTTTTCCTTCTCGCCTCTCTCCTTTCTCCCCTCCTCCTCCTCCCTCCTCTCCTCTTCCTCTCTCCTCTCTTCTTCTTCTTCTTCTTTCTTCTTCTTCTTCTTCTTCTTTTCTTCTTCTTCTTTTCTTCTTCTTCTTCTCTTCTTCTTCTCCTCCTCCTCCTCTCCTCTCCTCTTCTCTCCTCCTCCTCCTCCTCCTCCTCCCCTTGTCTCTTCCCCTCCCCCCCCTCTGTCTCTTTCCTCCCTCCCTCTGTCTCCCCCCTGTCTCTCGCACAAACACGTATTCTAATTTCGACCCTTATGGGGCGAGGACTCTGGGTGCAAGTTTGGCCTTTCCCCCCCCATATTCCCTCTCTCTCCCCCAATCTTACCTCCCTTCTTTCTCCTTTCTTTCTTTCTTTTTCTTTCTTTTCTTTCTTTCTTTCTTCTTTCTTTCTTATCTTATCCTTTCTAATATTCTTTCCTTCTTCTTTCTTTCTTTTTTTCTCTTTCTTTCTCTCTCTCTCTCTTCTCCTTCTCCTCTTTCTCTCTTCTCTCCTCCTTCTCTCTTCTTCTTTCTTCTTTTTTCTTTCTTTTCTTCTTTTCTCCCTCCCTCCTCCTATCCTGGCCCTCTCCTCCTCTCCCTCCTCTCCCTCCTCCCCCTCACCTCCCTCCATCATACACCTCTCCCCTCTCGTTTGTCTCTCCTTCTCGTGCTCTCTCTTCCCTTTTTTTCTTCTCTCTTTCTACTTTATTCGGTTTGTTTGTGATCATAATTCCTTCTTTAACCCTCATTTTTCTTCTTTTTTTCTCTATCGTTCTTTTTCTTTTTCTTCTGGACACTATTTTTCTTTTCTATCATTCTTCCTCTCTTCTTCTCTCTTCTTCTCTTCTTCTTTCTCTCTCTCTTTCTCTCTCTCCTCTTTCTCTCTCCTCTCTCCTTTTTCTCTTTTTTTCTCTCTCTCTTTTCTTTCTTCTTTCCTCTTCTCTCTTTCTCTCTTCTCTCACATAATAAACATTTGTGGTTGCAATATTTATATATATATTATATATTATATTACATAATATATATATATTATATATATATACTTACTATATATATCCGCATCTCGACCCCTTCATCAATAATTTCTCTTTCACTCTCTCTATTCACCCACCCCTTTTCCACTCCTCCCTCCCCCCGCCTTTCTCTCTCTCTCTCTCCTCGTTCGTAAGTGTTCGTGGACG